TGCGCCTCGTGAAAACGCACGCACATGAGCACACACAGCACAGCTACGAGTACTTGAAACTGGCAGTGCTGACATACAGCTTCCATCTAGAAAGCTGATGAAACCACAAAAGTTCTCCGGTGCTCATCGTTCAGTTCGTAATTATCACGTACCAAACGGTTTGGAAGATTGCTTATGGTTGATGCCCCGTAGTTTCGCCACCATGCAGCTTCATCTGTTATGTCGAGCGAGCATCTGCAAATTTGACATCCGGCAAGTCGTGCCGAAAGCTGAAAGCACCGCTTCTGGGATTCCAGTTGACTCTACATTCCCACATGTACAGTGTAAGAAGGCATGCACACCGTAGACTCTTCTTGGGCCTTTCACATCTGCGGTTTCCTGCTCTGCTGCGTGATCATAAACGGTAAGTTTTCTATCAAGCTACAGGTGGGTATTCTACAGGATCCTCTTCAAAATGGTCGTCTCCAGAAACCTAACTAACAGGCCCTGACAAAAAGAGTAGTCGTAATGATGAAGCTGTAGGGCAAAGCTCATACTAATGGCAATCCTCGACTAATGAAAAGGCAGCGAGACCAGCGAACCCCAATTTCCAGAAGCTCCAAAACCTACTCTCCTTCAACTCCTGGAGTTTAGTCTTCACTTTAAGATGCATCTTGCGTCTGGTTGCCTTTCCTTGGGATCTTCCGCGTTATATGTACTTGCAGGTTTTTTTGAGGGGGGGGGGGGGTCTGCGCAATCTGAACCTTCGAAGTAAAGAGGAGCTGTCCTGTCAGGTCTGCGTGGCTGAGTCACAGATACAACCGGGCTAGCACGGAATTGCAGCGGCGCTGCTTGCGCTTTCTGTCTGCGAGGTTTGTCGTTGCGTCCCTAGCCTAGACCCGACAGAGACTTCTCTGCAGAATACAACACAAACAGAAGCAGTTTCACACATTTTGCAGATGGCCCGGAGTTGAGAAAATCTCCTTCGCCGGGATTCGAGTGGGGAGGAATAAAGCTTGGGAGTCGTCAGTTCGAGCCTCCAGCTGTGACCGTCAGGGGTGCTTCTGATTGGGGCTTCAGATTTGTTTAGATTTTAGGTTTTGGGGGTTCAAGGCCACGAAGCCTTGCTACCTTGGTCGAAACACCAAAACCGAAGGGGTCCAAAGCACCCATGTAGTAGCGCGTAGGGTTTCTATAGTAGGAATTGCTCTTATGATTTGGGGAAGTATCCCCCGTAAGAGTGCCTAGCACCCATTTGAGTATGACCCTATGAATTCCTCGGAGTGGCGACAGAGAGAAGCCTAAATAGTTACCAAATAGTACCAATATTACTCCATAGGGTTCCTTATTCCCCACATCATTAAGTTATACGATAAAGAGGCCCAAAACCACATTCTGATCATTGAGGCCCCTATATCCCTAAATCCCTTATAGTACCCTTACAGTATCCCTTAGAGGCCTTGGCCTTATTCTATTTATTACGGCCCCTAGATGGTATTTTCCGAAAAGAGGGGCATCCTAATTATGTAGGATCCTGATGATAAGGACCCCAAAAATAAAGGTACCCTTAATTTTCCAGTACTCCTAGATTAGAATCCCAAAAGTTCAAAATTCAATAGACTCCACCCTTAAGATTAATGTATCGGGAATCCCAGCACTATTTGGCCTTAATCCGGTTTCCAACTTTATGGGTTTTACTGTGTATAAACTGCAGGAGGCTCTGCCTGGCCACCCCTGAACGCCCAAAGCGTGGAAGCTTCCAATCTCCCGCGAGAGTCTCAGAAAAAGGCCTTTCGGTGGAAGGCCGGCAGGGAGTGAGCTCTTTTAGGGTTTACGGACGGTATAGAGCTTTTGTGTTTAGGGTTTGAGCTCTCGGGATTTAGGGTTTATAGGGTTCATATATTCTAGGCTTTGTGAGGGCATGATCTTGAGGGGTGTCCTTGTCATAAGGTCTTTTTTGTTTTTTTTTTTTCCGGTGTTGGGTTCTGTGCTCGGTTCCTTTATGTTCTGAAGCACTCTGGAAAATTACAAACACCGAACAATATTATCCACAAGCCCCAAGCCTGTAATCAACCCCCAAACCCGAACAGCCCCCGAAACCCTGCGGGTCCAAGACCAGGGTTTAGGGTTTAGGGTTTAGGGTTTAGGGTTTAGGGTTTAGGGTTTAGGGTTTAGGGTTTAGGGTTTAGGGTAGACCTTCCAGTCAGCTTAAAGGTTACTCTCCCGGAACCCTATGCGAGGATGGAGTACATTACCATACTGGAAACTCCGAGCCTGAAGCTTGAAATTCCAGCCACCCAAAGGGTCCTAGGTACTCTTGTGGGGAATACTTCCCCACATCATAATACTAATTCCTAAAAAAGAAACCCTACATTCTACTATGTAGATACTCATGACGATTTCGGCCAGTGGTCCTGAACAACGAGCTTTAAGCCCTCAGCCCTTCTGCAAGCATAATTAAACTGAAGTATACAATCGGACCCTATACCTAAACCGTAGAACCCTTGTAGAACCCGTAATTATGGATGTATAAAACGAGAAACGACCATTGTAGAACCCGTGCAGGGCCCTTAAAGCCTGCAAGAGCGCGCTCCTGTCGACCTTTCGTGGTTCCACGGTGAAGCTAATGGCTTCGGGATGCCTCCGCACGCAAGTGGCACTCGACACGCGGGTTTAGGGTTTAGGTGTAATTCTGCCGGTTTGTGCTGTTGTCGCTCTAAGTCTTTGCCAGATACGCCATCTCTTCCTGATAAAGATGTCCCTGCCGCGGCAAGTGTCTTTACTCTCCGCTGTCCTACCGCGCACGAACTGCTGCATCGATGTTTTCTTGCTTTTGTTCGATGTTGGTGCTAGGGTTCGCCTGTTGCTGATTCTGGCGTGTTGCCTGTGTGGTAGTGACGTCTGTTGTCGTACCACAGAATTACAGTACTTGGGGTCATTTGTGTGTGTGTGAAATCCGTGCCACTTGATGACACCGGCAATCGAGCCTCTTGATGTACACTATACCCTCGTCAGCCGGTTGTGCGGCGGAAGACCCGAGTGCAGGCGACAAAAAAACATTGTGTGATGTCCGTGCTATGGGTGTCGGAATCAGCACTGTAGTGCCAGCAATCCCTTTGAGTGTCTACATCGCGCTATGGTTGTTCAGGCATGCATTAGGCATCTACTGCTAACAAGTTGGTAGATGATATCAAATTGAGCGCACGTTCTAGCTTCAGCCGATACTTCAGAATTTCATTTGAAGGGCCCAACCAGTACGTAGACCCATAAGACACGGCAGAGCCGAACTCCTTTTCTGCACGACATATAGTCAAGAAAACTCAGGTCTATAGGTGCGTTTCTATAGAAGCACCCCTAGACCGCTGAACTTTGTGTAGAACCAAAGACAAGACCTCGACATACTTTGAGGTCGAGCGTTAATTTGTGAAGTCAGCAAACTTGGCGAATACACGAGTTCGAAGCCTGTATTCCTCATGTCACGTCTGCAAGGCCCGCAGGCTCTAGTCTTCAACTGGAATCACCGCCATGTGCCCTCCTTACCGTGAGTATAGTGAGGGGTGCTTCGGGAATTATCAGCTTATCTGTAGCCCTTCTAAAGGATTGTCGACGAAACGATTACCCTAAACCCTAAACCCTAAACCGTATACCTGATAGAGACCAACTACTACCCCTCCCAAGGGTTCCGAGTCCCCATATAGCATTTAGTTTGGCCCTAAAGTACTTCTATTGGGACTACTTTAACGCCAATGTATACACTATATGAGTACATGGACCCTTGTAATACTAGCTACCGTCTTCTTGAACCTTAAACCCTAAACCCTCAAAACCTTCAGCCCTAAACCCTCAACCCTAATATAACCCTGAGCCTCGAAACAGCAAGCCTCCCGCCCTTCGCAGGTTCTGCTCAAGGACTTCCGAAAGCAGCGCGAGTCGTTGCCGGAGGGCGTGGGAACGGACACGCTTGAAGCAGATCTCTGGGTCTCAGGCTTTCTGGTTTACCAGGGTATGTTGCGGGCTTAGGGTTTGGCGAGGTTTGGGGGAGGGTTCGGGGTAGGGTTTAGGTATTTTAGGGTTTTGGGGTTCGGGGTTTCAGTTGGCTGGGATCGCAAAAACTCATTAATTACCCGGTAACTGAGGGAATATGCCGTAAGTCACATTCAGAATTCAGGGTCGCTCTACACGTCCGGGTTTGAATTTTTGAGTGATAAGGACGGGTAGTTACAAGTCGGGTTATAAGTCCCGTAATATGGGTTAGAAGTATAGTTACCCTACTTATCACCCAACTTATAAGTACCCATGATTCTCCAAGTAGATTCGTTGAGTCGATGGCTCAGGGAAAATCAGGTTCAGATGTTGAGTCGACTCGGGGTCGTTGGCTTCAGGTGAGGCTCGGACTTTCTGCTCCAGGATTCGTCCGGGAGTCTGAGTCTATATTTGAGTCTGAGAGTTTGGGAGCTCGTCCGAGTCCGTCCGAGTCTCTGTATTGTATGTAAAGGGGCTTGAATTCATGAACTCATTTTTGCCTGCAAGCCAGGGAGAGAGAGAGAGAGAGAGAGAGAGAGAGAGAGAGAGAGCACCTTCTCTTCTGAAGGCAGACATGCCATGTCAGACGAACGGATCTCCTGAGCGACTGTGGGCATCCTGAGGTTAAGCTCACAAGAAGCCTTCTTCAAACCTTCCACAGCCAACCCTCAAACCTTGGAAGTGTGCGTCCCACTCTTGAAGTGCAAAGTGGGGTTTCTGTCGACATGTATGTGTCGCCACCGCCATCCACAGCCTCGAGGAGCATCGATATCATGATATGTGATTGTCCGTGTCTGGGTGCCGTTCACACGTCTTTCGATTCGGGTATAATTATGCGTCAAGCTTGCGTAAACTGTCCATCGATCCACATGGATATGTTTCCTGTCTTGCTTTGTAGCTGCTAAAGAGTGTGGTTCTTAGGGCTCAGGCGGCCCACTGATCCTTTGCCGAACTTCCTGCGCTGCCTGGACTACACCTCGCCAAAACCCAAGAACAACATGACCCTGAAAAGGCGGGAATCCAGCACCGCGGGCAGGAAAGGCACGGCGGCACTGCACTCACGACATGAGTTCTACAGCGACACCTGGTGCCAACGACTGGCGTTCAAGCACCTCCTATTGAAGCTCGGCCCTCACAAGCCCATCCGCATCACTCTTGGAGCAGCAGCCGCACTCGTGTTCCTCCTCTTCGGGGCGGTAGGGAGTGCGTGGTTCTTTGGTCCTGGAGGCAGTTCGGAAGAGTCGCAGGTAGAGCCCGAAGCAGACCGTAAAGTGCTGAGCGATTTCATGGAACCTTGGGCATCGGGGCTTGGACGGATTGCTGCCACGATCTCCCATCCTTGTGCACAACAAGAGGAGAGGGCCCAAATATGTGAACGCACGATGTCGACGATTGCGCAAGAAATGGAGGACACGGGAGTTCCAAGACCTGCAGGTAGCCCTTAGTATAGATCCTCGAAAGACACGTGTCGATTTCAAGCAGCCTTCTTAGGACTTCTGCAAGTAAGGGTGCAAGTCTAAGAAATGGAGGACATCTTGTCAGCGGTGGATCGACCGCCGCAGAGCGAGGATCTCGTGAACCACTCCAATGATGCCTCGAGGTTGTGAATTCAGTTGGCCTCTTTTTGCCACGCTAGGTTGGGCCTTGTAACCAGTCGTTTGGGGAAAGACTACAGACATGCAGTGACTGCCAACAGCTGTTCTACGACTGTTTCGGCCCTTGTGGCAAGAACTGTACAGTCCCGCCGCTCCCCCCCTAGGTCATTTAAGTATCTAAGCCGTACCCCAGCCGTTGCCGCCTAGACACAGAGAGCGACCTGGTATTGCGATCAGAAGAAAAGATCTGCAGACCCTTGGCATTACTGTACCTTTTGCCTGTGAAGGCAGTTAAAGTTCGCTTTGCCATCCAGAACTAGTCCGTGTTTTCCATTGACTGCCATAGTGGTCTTGCGTTTCATTAACACGTCGGCCTGCCAGGTGACCTTCAGCCGCATGCGGGCTCAACGGGCATCTTGGCGGCCGGGTGAATTGTTTTCGGTCCGGGTCGGAAGCGGTACTGAGCTGCTTCGGCTTCGAGGGCCTGGAGGGTGCGGAGTCGGTTGGTGTGTGTGTGTGTGTGAACCGCCACAAAAAGCAACAGGTTTTGGTAGATCAAGGTATAGCGTTTAGGCAATGCAGGATGCCGTGCAAACATGGAAGAGCCCGGCACAACATGCAAGAAACGAGCGGCGGCCTTTACTGTTCTACACAAGCCACTACAGATGCACTCCATGGGTGCCGGAATGCCTGAAGTTCCGGGTCTGGTGAGTCTGGTGATGATATAGGGCTAGCTACTTTTACATCAATACTCTTAGACACGGCTTTTCATTCTGGTTTCAGTCTTTAGAGTCTTTGTCAGCCCGCGCCAAGGACATGACCATCCCACCCTTCGACACGATGTGGGCACAGGTGCGCAGCATCTCGTAATGAGGTTAGGCTGCATCCCTGCTCGGAAGTGGGTTTTTATACTATACCATGTTCCATGGAACGGCTGCAGAGTTGGACTTCTGAAGCTACCATAGGGCTCCAGTTTTCTGCATAGTGGGTTCGGGAGTTGCATAATCTAAATTACCCTACTATGCTATCGACATAGTGGGTTCAGGGGGTTACGTAACATATGGTTAATACCCTACTGTTTGGGCACATGGCAGCCCTGAAATTCGCTGACGTCGTCACCTTGTCCAGGGCAAGGTCCTGAGGCCTGGCTTTAGCTTCCGAATGCTTCGAGGCTCAGAGAAGCTGGCTCCAGTCGGCCTAAGTAGGATTACTATGTCTGTCTATGTACCCAGAGAGCCCAGTGCCCCTTAATTATGGAGTATACATGAAACTAATAGGGGCTTCATATTACGGTGTTATATTCCTAGATTAAGGGATATTGGGCTCTCTAGGTACATCAAGCATGTCTTAAAATCTGCGGAGAAACCAGCCGTTGCTCTCTGTGGCGAACCTTGCACGGACAGAGTGATTACTCGGTTGTCTCAGTCAGTGAAAGAGGCACAATGTGTCGAAGGTTCAGCATCCTCTGGCAGCGACTTCTCACAGTAACTATTGTCGAGTTTATAGACCTTCTGTTCAATCCCCGGTGTCAAGGTACATCGAGGCGTAAGGTTCTAGCATGTCAGTGCCCGTGCAGGATGATGTTATTTGCCATCCGCTGATCCTCGCTCTTCTTGTCGGAGCCTCAGAGGCTGTCGAAATCGAGTAAGATTCTTCTAAAACCTGGGTGTGTTTTGCAGGCCAGGCACTTCCAATCTGCAGATTCTTAGTCTTTGCAGAGAAGCCCCACGATGTTTGGTGGCATGGCATGCTGGGCAGCTAGCCATTGCCACACCTCGTGAGACGTCAGTCTCTTCCATGTAGGGCCAAGATACTGTAGGGGTTCCGGTAGACAGGGTAACCCGATCTTGTCTCACGATGCCGTCAACAAATCCTGTGCCTTCACTTCTCGAGCGAGGGGGCTCCAGTACGTCGGTCGAATGAATGCTGCTAGGCCCGCTACCTGCGGAACAGCACCAACATGAGCGAGGAGAAGGTCTGTGAAATGACTATTCGGTTATAAGTCTGTTCGAAGAACCGATCGGAAGACCCTTGCTGTAGTTTTCGTGTCGTCTTGACTGAAGAGCCTGCCCAGCTTGATTTTCGGATAGTTGCCTTATAGTACTCAATAGAGAGTCGAGATATGTTGCGACGCACGGGCTTGCTGACTCGGTTCGGGTCTGGCCTCAGCTTATTCTGAATACAATGCGATACCTCATGGTCAGGGATGACACGTTGCTTGTAATTGTAATTGTTTGCAAGAGCCTTGTTGCTCAAACTTGGGCTTTGGCGGGCCATGTGCACCTTTTTGCGGTGCGATCGAGCACAGCGGCTGGCACGAGGCTTCTCCAGATTTTGGCCATGCCCATTGCGAGTCCCAATCGTCGTGCCGTGCAGCCCTGCCACAGGAAGCCTTCAGTACCGCCGTACATGCACACATGTTCTGGACAAGCACAATTCGTTGGTGGCAGCATCATTCGAATCGCTTCAGGAGGTGAGAGGGAAAAACCGAAAGCTCCGTGAGATCCTGAGGACATCGCCTTGGCCTAGCTTCAATTGCTTCAGGGCTCATGGAAAGACATACGACTTGCCTCTGCGGCATTCAGGGCCCTGTCTTGTAATGCCGTCGACAGCAAGACTGAGGTACTTGGCAGGTTTCTTTGATGGTGATGGATGTGTCACGCCTGAAACGGGCTTGTCTGGTTGCAGACTGGTGGTAGTTCAGGCCATTAACCAAGCCGCAGTCCTACTCTTGTTTCATGACACATTTGGCGGCAGCATAACTCGTCATGGCGATGGCATCGGCTTACAACAGCCCACATTGAGATGGATAGCGTGCGGCAACAAGGCTACTTATGCTGCTGGTTTGCTGTCGCCATTCAGCATCACCAAACGGAAGCAGCTGTTGCTTGCAGCTGCATGGCCGCAGACCATGCTCGACAGACATCATTGCAGGGAGCTGTTGGTGCAGCTCAAGCGGCACGATTCTGCTGTGGCCGACCATTGCACTCTGGAATACATTGCAGGGTTCTTTGATGCCGAAGGGCATGTGCAAGCAAGCGGGCGTGCAGCCCTTACGCTCGAAATAGGGCAAAAGTTTGGTACCGTACTGGCATGTTTGAAGGATTCCCTGGCTATATGTTTGGATGTAAATGCACGGGTTCTAGCACGTGGGAAATACTTCTATCTTAAGGTGACGCGCACCTCTCAATGCAAGCAAGTGCTGCATGCACTCTTGCAAGCAGGTTTGCTTTCCAAGGCAGATCAAGCGAAGCTGGTGATTAGCTTGACGTCGCAAAACTCGTCTCAGGTTCGCACTGCACTGGGAATGCGAGTGGGCAAGCAGGGGTTTGGCAAGAGATTGGATGAGGACGGATTGCGAAGGTCCGTCAAAATCAAAGTGGTGCAAGCTCTTGCGATGAGGCTGAAGCGCAGAGGGGAGCTCAGCAAAGCTGAGTTGAAGTTGCAGGAAGTTGAAGACCTGAGGTATGAGCACCAGCTGCTCAATGCATGTCGTGAGAACCAGCAGCTCCATGAGTACATGTGCGAGCTTCGAAGATCCCAAGGCGCGCAGTGACATGCAAGCAGCAAAGATCCGATGAAAGATCGCAGCTGAGTTTGCTTTCCAACTCTGTGGATCCAGGCCACTTTCATAGCGCACGAAGTGCGGCAGTGTCATTAAGTCTGTTTCACTAAATGCCGAGATGAGTGCCAATGGTTTTCGTGCGTCCACAAGAATCTCACAACCTCCGTCCGAATCCACCTTCAAGTTGCAACACTTAATTATAATTCTAAACCCTAAAACCCACCCACACCCAACACCCTTAACCCTAAACCTTGACGCCGAAAGGACATCAACCCCGTTCACTACCAACATCCGACTCTAAATCCGCGGAGGCCTCCGAGATGACCTTCGCTCATTGGCTCGGGGCCGGTGGAGATATCGAGGCTCGGGTCACTGCACGGAGGCTGAAGCCCGAAATCAGTGATGTGAAACAAAACCTGTTAAACTGTCCATGTATATGTAGAGTCCAGGGGGAATTCAAGGGTTTGGGGTTTGGGGGTTGGTTTCGAAAGGATCTAGGAATCGCAGGGAGCTGATTGCATCCAAGCTGACTCACTCGAAGATAATAACCCTGGACTGCATAAAGACTCCATGCCAGGAGTTCACGTCCGGACAGTCCAGCGCAGGATGTCCCGAGCGCCAAGCTGAGCATCGTGTGGGAAAGACAGCCAGCACGTCTTCGAGTCGGTACCTATAGTCTCCATTGTAGTTCTTTTTTTGGTTAACCAGTTTTATGGTGAGGACCCTATAATAGAGATTTTGGTTAACCAAAAAAAGGAACTACAATGGAGACTATAGGTAATGCCGAATATGCATGTATGTCTCCGGCGTCGTCAGCATCATGTGTGCATATAGCCGCCTATCTGGCTTATGTGGTAGCCACGGGCACATGACATGACATGACATGCTTTGAGTCCGTAAATCCGGCGCCTGTCAGTGCGCAGTGGCACGGCAAGAACCAGATCATGCAATAGAATAGTTAAAGCCACCGACAAACGTCCACCATTTCCAATGAGTGAGAAAATCGCTACAAGTAGCTGCTACTTGTATGCTGCTATGCGAGCCCCGAAGACCGGAACTTCTGTCAGAAGAGAGCCCCGACACTGCAAAGCCCGGTCCCCAACCCCATAATTCACCCTAAAAAGCTTACACTTCGAGCTGTTGTTCCATGAATATAAACTTCAGGCTTGACCTCTTGGTGGTTGTGGACACCCCCTCTGTTGCGTCCTCGGGATTTGAAGTTTCAAGTTTGGGGAGTTTTTGATTGTAGATGTTCAATACCGTTTTCGGTGCTAGTTAAGTTTAGGATGTCGATTTGGGGGACATTATACTGGGTCCCGAGCTCCCGTGTGGAAGTCTCCCGAGTTGAGCGCCGTTATCGCACAGCTTCAGTGTCTGTGGGCTTTAGGGTCCCCGGCAGTCTTTACGATCAAGTGTCCTTGTAAGGACATGTTGCTGGGTTATGGCTAGGATGGCTTAAGGTGCCGGACTGGGGGCTTGTAAGGCGAGGGCTCGAGGATTTGGGGACTTAAGCTTCAGAGTCCCTCTCCAACACGCAACTCGGCAAGGATCTATGGAGAGACAGGTAGCCGAAAGTTTCCAATCTGGCATCACCCAACAACTCTTATGATTTTAGTGGACTACTGAAGGACAAACTTCATGGACAAGACTGTGGGCTCTGTGCAGGAGTACATACTGGCTAGCGGCTAGTGCACGGCTAGGCGGAAGTCACACAATCATTGCCCATCGTCTCATGTTCGCAACACATGTGGCAACTGGCAAATCCCGTATCGAATGCCATGTCCGGCTGTTAAGCCCTGGCCAAAAAAACTGAATCCCGTCAGTTCAAAATCCTGCACCGTAGCTAGCTTGGCCACGGCATTGCTAAGGGAGCGCCTGCACAGACTCAGCACAGGCACGGAAACCAGGGGTCTTTGTCCCATGGGGAAGGATCGGACGAATAATGTCAAAAAGAGCTCTTCACGGATTGACATCTAAAGAACTTGGCTTGTGTCTTTGAGCAGCCGTAGAAGCCCAAGTTTTGCTCCTAGGGTCTGGAGATCGCCGACTTTGTTTCCCCAGAGCTTCCGAAAAATCTGCTGATGGAGTTTCTTGCTGGAGCTTCTGGAAAAGAGAAATCGCAGGACCGGAGTCCTCCAGGTTTCTTCATAGGCAATACTGACAAGTGTTTTGGGGCGGCAGGAGTCTTTGAACCGTCTGGGGAAAAACTGTGTTCGACTGCGAATTGTCGCCGACAGGCGCATGTAACACGACGCGGGGGTGCTCCAAACTGGCCATAGAACCGCAGTGCTAAAGACGATTTCTTTTGAAAGTCCACTATGTCAAAACCTGCCAATCTCGGCCGTGAATTAATCATCAAACCGAGAACCTCAATAATACTCTAAACTGGCGAATATATCACACTCCCCAGCCCCGAATTCTAAGTCTACCTGTCCACTTTCCCAAAAGCATCAGGGACACGATCCTCCCTGGTCCCTGCGCCTCGTTGGGTGTGTGCAGTCCTTGGCTGTTGCACTCTTCTTGTCAGGGATAGCTTCTAGGGTCTCCATATTTCGAGATCTGGTTTTCCTGGAGATGCGCTTCTTTGTTGATCGCAGCTTTTGGAAGCAGGGCACCTTGGCCGAAACCTTGAACCATGAACCTCGACCTTAAACTTGAATGCTAATCGAAGCTCGGCCGAGGCACATTCCTCTCACCCAAATGCAGGCTCCGTTTTTGGGGGTTTTCGGATCTGGGATGATTCGAAGAGATTCCGTATCCAAAGCAAACATGTCTTGCGGACAGAGTAGGAACAGTGATGACAATATGTGACTCTAGAGGCTCTGTCGGTTGCAAGGTTCACTGGATACAGTATGCACCTAAGGCTATAGACTGGAGTCGCACAGCCCTGTCCTGTGGTTTCAGCTCCACCGGCAGGCGGAGCCTCTGAACGGAGCGATCGGCTTCTTCCCAGGTGCACTGCATGCATATGTTTGTTGTACCGAGCTGTGAGCAGCGAGGTAAGCATCAGAGTCTTCGACGCGTCTTCGTTTCAAGTGCGATCATGCTTTAGAGTGCTCGGTGTCCGAAACCCCAACACGACTTCCTAAACTTGGTTCCCTGTAACTTCTATCATAGACCGTATTTACGTTTTGATATCTATAGAGCCTCAACTGCCTCTCCTAAAATCTAGTCCCCCGCACTTCCCGAATTTCTGTAAGTTAAGCCTTAATCAAGCCTTAATCGAAGCCCCTGACCTTCGGCTTCTCTGACCTGTGATGCCTGGAGGTTCGCACGTCCTCAAAGGCGAGCTTTCCGGGAAGAAGTCAGAGGCCCCCCCCCCCCCCCAAGCTTTAGGGTCTAGGGTTTAGGAGTTAGAGTTGAGGGTTTAGGGATGTCGCTTCTGGTGTTTCGCTACATTAAGGGGTCATAACCTAGGAATATCGGGTTTGGGGCCTCAAGTAGGGCCTAGGATGTCCAGCGCTTTTGGGTTGAGGGTTGCAGGAGCAATCCAAAATTTGATTTAGTCAGCAGGTTTTTGTGGCTCTCACGGACGCCATGGACTGGCTTCAAAGAAGGGTAGCTGATTGGGACGTCGGGGTCCTTGATATGATGAGCTTCATAGACGGAATGCCATGCCACCGCTCGAACCTATTGAAAGGTGATGGATGGCGCAAGCAAGCCTTGTAGAAACTCTAAATTCTAAACCCTGTCTCGCTTTCCCAACAATGGCGACACGCCCTTGCAGGGGAACGTATATTGAACTAAAACCCTATAAAGGAAGCCCAGCCTTTCATCGCAAAACCACAAGGCAGTTGCACTATAGATCTGGAGGTCCTGCAGCCTGCAAGGAGACGGCAGACCGTAATTCCTACTTGTTAGGGTTCAGGGTTTTCGGTTTAGGTCGCTGACCGCAAATTTTCAAGCAGCGGCTGCTGGCCTCCTGCCCAGGAGCTGGTGGGTGCCGTGGAAGCCTCAGCATGACAGTGTGGGAGTCTGTGAGACTGCTTTGACAAGCCGTCGAGTCGAAATTACTGTCGTCCCTGGCTATATTATAACTAGAAGTAAAACTCAGAGCTACATAGCCCATGAATGCAGGATTGCCTCTAGCCCGGCACTGTTCCACGAGCTGAATTCGTAAACGTGGGGTCTAGGGTGTTTCTGTCTTTGGTCCGTTTGGTCAAGCGTCGTTCCCAAGTCGTACAGTGCAATTTCGGCACTGAGTCTGCACCTGGTTCGGTGATCCTCTACGACTCCTTCACGGAACATCGCGGGCCGTGCACCTGAGACCAGAAGGGCTGTGCCAACTGGAGACATCAGACCTTGGGGTTACTATTTCCTAGGAGGTCCTTGTTTGCCAATAGAAGTCTAGATACCAACGTAGCCGGCTACCATCCAATAGCTTTCCCGCCGTGCCTTCCAACCAAAGTTTTCAAAACGTTGATGCACGTTGCACGTAATGGTCTCTAAAAAAAGCGGTGGCCCCACCAAACGCTAAGCCCTAAGGGGCCCTAAGCCCTAAGCCCTAACCTTGCGTGCTGCAGGCCAGTCCAGGCCCCAAAGCCCTCAACTCCCAGATCGAAACGCGTCGAGCACCTGTCATGTCACAGTCCCGGCCCTCGGAGCCTCACAAGCTTGCAAGCAATCCTGCCTTGGAAGCCAGTAAATGCTGGCACGATCCAAAAAAAAACGAAACTCCAAACACTGAACAACCTCGAATCCTCGGCCTAGCCCGAACCGCAAGCCTATCGAATGCACTCAACAATCACAACATCTCCGTCTCGAATGCAGCCTCTTGGCTCCTTTAGGCAAGCCCGACTTGTTTCGGGTGCAGGGGTCAGGGCTTGCATTTACGGTTTCTGCCGTTTGCAGTGTAGGGCTTGCGGTAGCCAAGGATGCCAGTAGTTCTGAAAGCCATCGAGGCCACAAGCAGAACTACCGACAAACCCGGAAAGGCGCAACCCCAAACTCAGAAACTCCCTTAACCCTGAATAACCTACCTTTTTGGGGCTCCTTATTATAATTTCGTTATATAAGTCCTTGAAACGGTAGGTTATTCCGGGTTAATTAAGGTCGAGCTCCTTATTGACAGCACCTAGCCAGAAATCCGGACACCGGAAGCTTTAAGAGGCGGATCATTAGCCAGAACTCAAACTTTCTTGAAGCCGGCTTCTAAGGGCTTCCGTTTTGGGGGGCTCCGGCTGATAAGGTTTGTGTTTATAGTGCCGCCGGCTTACAAGCAGCCATGGCCGCTGCCAAGCTAGACTGGCTTCTTCCGCCCCTCCTTTGCGGGTGCCATGTCTGCAATTGGACTAAGCCCCAGTTAATAAACTCCAAACGGTTTGGGTCTTTCGGAGCTGGGTTGCTTTGGTGATCTGGATCTCAGTGCTTGGTCTGGCTCAACATGGTGCCCTGGCTCATTCGCGAGTGTGTGGTTGTGTTTCTTTGCTTTGTTGGAGGGGGCCGTGCACCGATGTGGTTTCTTGTCTGAACCCGTCTGAAACAGCCTGTAAGCAATTCAACTACATGCGCCACGAATGGGAGGTTCCGAAAATAGGGGACCCTAATATAGTACCCTAAATAGTAGGATCCTTCTTATTATAAGATCCCCTAAATTAAGGTACCCCAAATTTTTGGAAACTCCCAGCTTGATCTTCAAGCATCTTAGCATTTTGAAGGCTCGCGATGATTCTGGCGTCGGGTGCTCCTTGGAATGCAAGGGGGCATACCGTACCCCTTAATTGAGGAATACCCCCTTAAATAATAGTGGCCTTAATATTACGATTTTACGGTATATCCCTTAATTAAGGGTTACTGGATGGGGGAGCATCGCATCAGAAGCGGAGGAGGGGGATGGGGTTTTGGTCACCATGTAGGATTTGAGAGTCACTGGCATCTGGTCAAATTCGTGCAGCCCAGAAACCCGCAGGTACGACATCCTAAACATACCCACCTCTAAAGTTGTAAATACCTATAGTCTCAATTGTAGTTCCTTTTTTTGGTTAACTAAAATCTCTATTATAGGGTCCTCACCATAAAACTGGTTAACCAAAAAAGGAACTACAATGGAGACTATAGGTATTCCTGAAGCCAAGCAAACAACCTACACAAGCCTCAACTGCAAATCCTACTTAGCCAACCCTTGCCAGACACACTGACAGCCACATTGATTATGATGCCACATTACCCTACTGACTAACCCTATAAACCCTACACCCCTAAACCCTAGACCCTAAACCCTAATTCGTCCTCTGAAACTTCAATCAAGTGGAGACTCCTCCGAGGTCAAAGGTTTCTGGTGGTGCTTGACGTACCTCTTGCTCTCCACCGCCGCGCTGTTTGTTCTCCACGCCGGGACCTGATTCGGATGGTTATGGCTGTGTAGTCACGGAGTTTGGCTTTGAATGAGATGATTTGGGGTTGTAGCTTAGCTCTGGGTTTTTTTGTCACGAGCAATGCAAAAACCCCCGTGGCCCCTATCAAAGTTATTTCAGGGTCCCTGATGCTGAAAAACCGCTCTTGAACGCTACTTGTAATGCATGGCATTTCTTCAGGAAGGGGCAATCTCCACGTGTTTCCTGGTGCCGAAGCATGGCCAAGAACCCTTCGGCGGAACGAAAGCACAAACACTGCAGGTGGCGAAGCATGGCCAGGACACCATAAACCCTTAGACCCCTAACCCCTCAAGCCTAAACTGCCTAAACCCAACCCAAGTGGAACGAAGGCTCGATGGCGCCGCCTTGGCGTCTTCGTGGAGGCCGCCGATGCAGAAAGGCACCGGAGCATTCAGCCTTTAGTAAGGCAATAGGGTTTTAGGGTTTAGTTTAGGGTATATAGTTTAGAGTGTTGTATTTAGGGTATAGGGTTTGAGGGTTTAGGGATGCAGTAATCAATGATAGGCTGGTTGGGCTGGGGAATGTCGCCGGTACACGGGTGCTTTTTTGCTTTTGCTCTCCAAGTACCTGAGACACTCTTGCAGGTATATGTACTAGCCACAAAACTATTACGTACCCAAAGTACCCAACTAGTTAGAAGGTCCTTTCGACCCTCAGGCTCCGGGCTTTAGGCTTTTAGGCTTCAGGAGGCTTGGTTTTGTTTCTGCTCCAGAGGGTTGCGGATTTCCGGCTCCAGGGGATCTCGACAGACTGCCATGGGTTGGCATCCGTTATCCGGCGTCGGCGTCCATGCGAGCAAGCACCCGCGAGACACGCATTGAAGGATGTCCATTGCAAACATCTCGTGGAGCTTTACATAAGCGATAACCCTAATGGTCCATGTACCCATATAGAGATACATGAGCCCCAAAGTACCTATATAGGGACTACAATAAGGCCAATGTATATACTATATGAGTACATGAACTCATAAAATCCTAAACCCTACACCCTTATGGTACCCTTATAGAACCCTATAGGGGCCCTTAAAGGGACCCTATACTATATGAGTCCATGGACCCTTAGGGTAACGCCCGTTTGGAAAAGCCCTGAGCCCTGTCAAGCCTAAACTCTACTGGTCCGGGACCTTCGGTATATACTTCGGCCTCAAGGCCTCAAGAAATTCTTTTTGGCACTTTCCATACACACACACATATATATATATATATGTTAATATCATATAGACAGATAGATAGAGAGAGAGAGAGAGATAGATAGATGCACGCAGATGTTGCAGAGGTGCTCGGGGAACCCAAAAGTTCCTAAAGCACAGTAGAGCCCAAGAGCCGCCACATTGTTCCTGCCGAGGGGCTCAGCCAAGTGGCTCGCCGGAACACGTTTCGTATGCTGGGGTGTGGCGTTCATCGGCGTGGGATTCCCATATCGACTCACGGCAGCAAGGCAGTGGGATGCATGAACATGCACACTTACAGTAAGGAGCTGTGGATGAAACAGTTCGATAAGTATATGAGCACATAATTATACATATAGTGTCATGTGTGTATATATATACACGTAAAAGAATGAACTTTCCAAAAGCCCAAACTTGATGCCGTCGCTGGTAGGTAGCGGCTCGGTGCTCGTTGAAGCAGCTCAACCCTGAGCTCTAAGGAACTGAGCCCTATTCCGTACCCTTAGCATATCACTTCTTAAGCAAGTCCAAACGACATCTATACCTTACCGCATGAGGGCATTTCTGAAGATGCCGGGTATAGGATTCACCCGGAGGGTCTAGGTATCCACGTCACATGTGAACTTAACTTCGAGCTGCCATTCAGAAACCACTTCCACTGTGAGCCCATCTTTGTGCTCAAACCTTATAAACCTTGAATGATGGACTTTAGCAGCTTTAGTCTTCGTGCTTCCTCTATAGGTTTTTTCCCCCAAGCCAGAATGGTCACATCCTGAACACTCCGTCCTCGAATCCTAAGCCTTCCCGTAAACTAAAACCGTAAATCGTGCACCCTAACTATATATCATAAGCCCTAAGACGTTACTCCCGAGCCGTAATGGCCCTAAATCCTGCACCCTTAATGCCCGAGCCTGAAATCGCAGCACCCTACACCTGAACCCCGAAGCCGCATAAACCCAAAACCCTCATTCCAAGCTCCGTGACCCTTGAAAGCTACACCCCCAGCCCAAGCAACTCTCAAACTCAGACAAGTGGGGATTCGAGACGTTTACAACCTTCACCCTTTGGCTCCATGGCTGCAGCTCTTGAAGTAAACGCGGTCTTCAGGACTTGTGCTTTGAGGGTGTTGAAATTTTGAGGGCTGAGGAGTGTAAAGGAATAATCGCGATTTCCGCATCTCAGCCTTGGAGTGCTAAGCTTCAGGCTTTAAGGGTGACCTAATGCAGGTTACTGGGATGCCCAGTTGTGCCCTTATTCCCTTTTTGTAGTCCTAGGTTCCTTCTAAAGTTACCCAATACCAAAAAGGGAGCCCTTTTAACTGATAGGTTACTGGGCATCCTAGGTTAAGCTGTGGTGTTGTTTTGTGCTTTTCCGGGCGGTTGATACGGGCTTACGGCGGGCTTTCAATGTCCAAAGTTTCAGGCTTAGGGGTGGTTAAAAAGGTAAGTAGAGTTCATGGGTTGGGGGTGACATGATCTTGAGGGCTCAAACTTGGCGTTGCCTATCTATTGAAGGCTTGCACGCGGTTATGCGATCATCGGGTCAGTGGGCACGGGGTTGCACCACTGAGATGCAGACTTGCCAACAAAAGCAGCAAAACAAGTGCGATAATCCTGATCGTCCAAAAGGCCCAATGAGGAGGTTCGTGCTTGGGGGAGGATATGATTTTACGTGAGCTGACCCATCAGAAGGCAAGCCTCTACACCAACCGAAGAATACCGACGTCCTAGTGGATGCTAAACCCTCAACCCGAAACCAAGAGCCCTCAAATCTTCAATACGTCACACTGTTATGTTGTCGTCCCAATTTCTTACATGGACTTGGCTGAACTATCGGGGTACAAAATAGTACAAAGACATCAAGGAACCCTAAAGGAAAAGTCTTCTGTCACAAAAACGTGGCTGAACTCTTTCTGGGTACGTTTCTAGGAGTATAGATACATCAAGTCACCTTAAGAATTGGTCATTCTCCAGCCACAAGGACCTGGCTCGACCTTATGCGTACATTAGGATAAAATAGTTTGGACTCATGATGCAACCTTAAGTATGACAAGTTATTCACTCTCAAGGACCTGGCTGAACATGTTCGTTTACTTCTCCCTCGTGCTCTTGAAGAGCCTGTGGGATCTCGTTAGAGGCAGGATCTTGGGGGCTCCTTATTTTAACTATAGTATAATACACCCCCAAACCCTGTTCTAATTAGTAAGGCCCTCACCTTAGAGTTTAGAGTTAAGGGTGTTGAGGTTTTAATTCTGATTCAGGCATAGGTTGGGGAATATAGAATCCCGTCCAGTTTCTTCAGATTTGCGATTATCCAAGCTTAAGGTTTCAAGAGTTTGGGAAGGTTCCCACTAGAACGAACCTTTATCAAAGGAACATGTAAGAAACAACTTTGAAGCAGCCCAGCATGGAACCCTTAACCCCCAAACCCTTAAACCAATGGGGACATGGTGGGGGCAGCCAGTCGTGTTAAGTATAGGTTCACACCATGGCTATAAGGCTTTTGAAAAATGTACCTCGGGATACTCGTTGGCAAAAACCCGAAACCACAAAACTCACAGATTACATTGTAAGCCCTGTGCGGTGAAGCTCCATAATGGAACTCCGGGAATCCCACGTAAGAGTCCTCATACTAGGGAACCTCAATCCCACCTATCTTCATCCCTCCTTTTCAGGCCCCCAACAAGGCCCGCCCTAAGGGTTCGGGGTGTAGGCTTTAAGGGTTTAAGGGTTCCTGTGTGTAGGCATCCTCCTCTGCTTGGAGGTTCGTGGGTAGTTTCAAGCAAGGTTATAAGCAGGGTAACTAATATATACCTATAACTTAAAACCCATACATATTAGGGGCTTATAACCCCACTTATAACTACCCCTGAACCTCCAAATGGAGAGGCACGAAACTGCAGCTTAGCAGCGGTTTGCTGCTCTGGCGCCTGGGTGGCATCGACCCAAAGGAATGTTCCAAAGTATCCGGGTTTCTTTCCCTTGAAACAGCATTCCCCAGGGTACTTTACAGGATCTGAGGGGGGGCATGAGGGATTTGAAGGGTTTGGGCTTAGGATTTCAAGTTATTTCAAGGGTTCAACCACATACAATCATCGTACGATAGCATGTACTGGTGCTCTAAATCAGCTGTTGCTGAAACCTACTCCAAGTCCACCTGCGAGAGGGGTTCGCAACAACCCCATGTTTTCCACCCTAAGCCCTAAGCCGAGGCCGTCTGTTGCATGCCTTACATGTATTCTTCCAGCCATGGTGGCTTGATATGAGTGCAAGCGATCAATACTAAAGTGTCAGTATGACGAGACACTTGGAATCCACCCAACCCGCGAAGCTTGATTCAGAGACCTCTAACTTCTTCCTTCCCACGCCGGCTTTGTGAATAGATATCACTGCCGCATCCCCAACTGAAGCAACTGAAGGACTGCTTCAACATCCAAAGTAACCCTAAACCATTCCCATGGAACATATCTAGCCCTATTATAAACCCATCTCATGGTACACACACAATAAAGCTACCATGACAGGATCTTTCTTCATCAGCGCCCTCGTACATCATGGTAGTACTCAGGTTCGAAGTCCTCTACGGAATGGCATGGCTGGTCGATGTCACTTAGATGCACATTTCGGTTCTTTTGGACCCTGTGTTGCGGCGTGAAGCATGTGTGTACTGTTTGTTACGTATGTTTACGTTTGTCTCTCTCTTCCTCTCTGCTTTTATATATATACACACACATACATACATACATACATACATACATACATACATACATGCATATATATATATATATATATATATGTAACCGCACACGCAACTGTGTATGCATCAGTTTCACATACACCGATAATATGCTTATGCATATGCATGCATGCATACACATACACAATCATACACTATATGCATGCATACACGCATACAGGCAGACATACATACATACATACACATACATGAACTACTTACATACGTACTTACTAACTTAAGAAGCGTTGATGCTATTTAACCTTACTTCTCCCTAGCAGAGACAGGGTGTTCGAGGGATGCGGGCATCTAAGGTTAATCTGCGAGTTTGGAGTTATTTAGGCTCCGGTTCCGAGAAAGCCTACTAGCAACAAGTCATGATGTTGTGTTAACTTGCACCCGAAAGCTCCGCAGTTCATGAACGGTTTTTAGTCAGACGTGAGCTTTCAGAGTCTTAAAGAAATATCGTTGTTATCACCGCACGGGTGGAAAGGACAGGACGTTCGTCTGCGATCGGCCCGTTTTTTTGGTCCATGTTCGTGTTTCTGGAGGTCGGGCTCATTGAAGATCAGTTCTGCGGGGCTGGCGGTTAGACTAGATGCAGGTCGTGAGCAATTTGAGCCTCGTGGTGGATGTTCCCAAGGATTCAGTTGGTCTTGTCAAAACCTTCATGCTTGGGTGACAACGAAGACTTGTCTCGCACTGAAGTTCATCAATCAGGAGTGCGAAATGCGGGTGGTAATCGTAAGCGTCCATGCGCCGACGTCGCTTTTTCCTTGGCCACAGCGTACCTCTTCAGGAACTTCTTTGAGCCCAGTGTATGTATTATGTACAGGTTCATGAAACCGCACCTCAAAGCATATCTACAGCTCTCAAGATCTAAGGGTCAGTGTACCTACATCGTATAGGATTAGCCTTAAGCGGCGACGGTTTTGGGTGTAGGGCCTGGGCCTTCAGTACTTTAAGGCCAAAGTATATGTTAGGTACATGGACCCTAAGCGAACGCCAATGCCAAGGCCATGTACTGGATTTTCTTGGTACCCTACGATGCCATCAAAGAGGCGCGCAAGCCTTGCAGGTTGTGGTCATAGTGCTTTATTACATAAAAATGCCGGAGTTTCTTCAGGCAAGTCTCTATGATAGGAACCTGATTAAGAAACCCTGGGCCTTTATTAGGGCTCCCTTTATGAAAACCCTACTATTTTGAAATTTAAAGTGTGTTACATACGCACGGCATGTAACGCATTTCAGAATTTCACGCAGGCTGCAGGCCAGAGCCTCGAATCTTGCCTAGAGGTTCACGGGTTTCGGTTGAGGGTCCTCAGAATTTGTCATAAATTCGGGGTCTGGATAAGTTTGGGTCGCTGGTGACAAGGGTCGGGAATTGTGGAGGACAAACCCTGGTACATGCATGCGTCTGGTGCAAGCTCTATATAAATCTATCAACCTATAAACCTATCCGTCCGTGATCTGTGTCTCAAGATCTGCCTTCTGGCCTCAACCAGAACCCTGAAGCCTGTCACTAAACCTCTGAAACTTTAAGCCCTCCACCAGCTCCTGTGACCCTCGTGCTCTCCCGACATGAAAGCCCCGTCTGGGGCCGAGGGTTTGTTTGGCTTTAGGGTTTTAGGGTTCAAGGGTTCGAAGTTTCAACTTTTAGCGGTGTTTTTGTATAGAACGCGTTCGGGCCCGAAAAGAACGACAGAACATGTGGCGAGATCAAGTTTTTGTATACCACGCGTGTAGCCGGATTGCTTTCTCGGTATAGGGTCTAGGGATTTTCCAACACCAAGGCTCCGTGTGCCTATGTAGTTTGTACATGCTGGCCCTACAGTACCTATATAGGACCATCTTCAAGGCCACAGCATACATGTACATATATATATATATATATATATATAGATAGATATACATACACAAATAAACACATATATGAATATGAATATGTATACATATCTATATATATATATATACACACAAATATGCATGCACTAAAATTTATCGATGCGTGGAGCCACATACCCCAGCCCCGAAACCCTCACAGTGCCCGTATAGAACCCTGATATAGTAGCCTTAAAGTCTCACCCTTAATATAATCCTGAAAGAAGTCGTCGTCGCGTTGCGTAGACCTTCAGCCGAAGTGTAGAGCAAGCTTCGAAATCCTTCACCCGAATCGCACAAGGGTTGTCTACAGCTTCCGAGGGCAGCGAGGGGCTCGCCCGCCGAACCACGCGCCTGAGCCTGGTCTGCGAGAGGATGCTTTTTGTTCGGATGGTTTTTGGGATTCTGTTTCGCCACGGCTTCGTAGGATTAGGCTTTTGTAGAGGGTTTGGGCATGTTTAGGGTCCATGGCTCTCTAGTTGTATAGCTTGTGCGGGTTGTGGAGTCATCCCACGAGCATGTACAAATCCCGCAACCCTACAGCCGGAAGCCAAGAATACGAAGAGTGAACACAGCCGACCAGGCCTAACCACAAAGCCACTTCAAACACGAGGACAAGAACAATAGCAAATAAACCTAAGCGTAATGATAGCCACAGTTGGTGTGAACAATACTTGTAACAGTCATGAGTAACATGAACAATATTAACAATCAGAACACCCCAGGAACATCTACCTCCACAGCCTCAATGCTGGCTTCTCAGACTGGCGGTTCGGCACCTTTATCCCGAAGTCGGGAGCTCCCAGAAGTCTGTATAATTACTCTACATGCAACCCTAATGGTCCATGTACCAATATGAACTAGTGTGAGCTTTGGCAATAAACGACCTCCATAGAACCCACAAAGCCACGTGGATGCTTAGGGTACGCTTAGGTGAAGAAATCAGGTTTAAGGCTTATAAGGTTTGGGAGTCGCGGTTTTCTCATGTGCACCCCGATGTCTTGCGCTGGGAATCCCTTGGCTGCAGCTTTTGCGTTAAAGGGCTCAAGGAAGTTGGGGCCACACCTTATTCGTTCTCTGATCTCCTCTGTTTCGAAAACCGAGCATCAGGACAAAAGCTACCTGTACTTGGAGGTGCGTGGGTAGTTATAAGTAATGTGATAAGAAAAGTAGCTATACCAAGGAATCTTAATCCTAGATAAGTTCATCATCCTACCTCAAAGCTGTTGAGGCCCTTAATATCTGGAGTGGGGGATTTGAGACCATGCCATCAATCCCAAGCCGGAAACCCTATTAAATCGTTTAGGGTTTAGGCTTATGGGTCCAGGTCGCACTCATGAACGTGGAGCTCGCCAACCTCACCTGTGGCGTGAACATTTACCATTCGATCTTCGGGACCCCGTGGGTTTGAATGGGCTTTCACGGTTGGAGGATTCAGGGCTGTAGGGTTTCTTCGCTGCAGGTTCGGAGTTTCGGCTCAGGGTTCGGTAGGGTTCCGATTTCTTGGGTAAGGGACTGCGAGCTGGCTTTTACGTACTGTGTAATTAGATTAAACAGACTTTACCTTTGAGGATGCGATGTTCAAGAGTGCACTGAGTGCTCGCTGCCATTTTGAGGGATGCGCTTTAGCTTCCTGTGGGTCCTGTGCATCAGCAAGTCTTGGGGGGGCTGGCTTAACCAGGTTTAATGACTAGATTTGGAGCTTTGGGCCCAGCTTAATGCTTACACTTTGGCCTTAGCTAGTAGCGTAGGATAAGTTCTTTATGACTTAGATTTCAGGATTCATCGCTCGGTGCTCAAGGTTGGAGATGTGAATGGTTTGGGGCAGTCTGGGGTTTAATAGTTTAGATCTATAGGGCTGAAGGCTTTAACGGCCTTTGCTTTGGGGCTTGCTCGCGGATGTAACACTAGAACTTACAGTCCCAACCCGAAGCAGACGAAGAGATGGGAAGCAACCATGTCTGGCACAAGAGGGGTGCTAGCTAATGCAGTACGCTGACGTCATGTGAAAATCCTTAGTCTTCTTCAGGACTTTGGAGTTGAACGGCAGGAATAGAATCGTAAACCCTAAGCCCAGCCTTCCGCATCAGCAGGATCTATTTCGGTGTAGTTTACATCGGTTTCAATTGGATCGTGCACGAGGTGAAGGGTGGCTGGACCTACTTCTTTCTCGCGGCTCGGCTAAGTCAGGGTCCCCAAATGGTTGGGGGGGTGGGGGGGGGTAGGGTTGAGGGTTGCAGAGTTTAGGGGTTGAGGCTTTAGGGAAGCACAACCCTGCAACAACCGATATGGTAGAATCTATGTTTTCTATATGATGAGCTGCTATGGTGATTTGGGGAAGCATCCCCCATAGTGGCTCATCGGGCTCACCAACCAGATCTTTCTTCAGGTTCCTGCATGTGCTTCGGGGCCTGTGGGGTGCACCCACTGCGAACGTCTTGAAATGCAGGACTTGAGAAAAGATGACGAAACACAAGACCCTTAAGGGTGCTCATCGACTTATGCATAATTCGATGGTTCGAAAGTTCGAGAGACCTTTAATACAAGCCTTTAAGCCTCTTTATCATATTCCGGAACCAAGCCTTGAAGCCGTACCTCTAACAATCAATCCTGAACGCTGACTCTGCAGGAGCCATGACTTCAAGGTCTCGAGGTCCCCAACCCTGCAAACCAACCCTCCCAAAGGTTGTTATAGGACCTGCGTAGCCCACTGTGTCTGTAGTTTGCAGGAGCATAGCATGAAGTTTGAGCGTTTTAGGGCCCTATACGTTTCAGTTCCGGCGTCGGGGCTTAAGCTTTAAGGTTGGAGCTTTTGATTTTTAAAACGCTTAGCACAAAACGAAGTCTTCGAACGCTTAGCTGAGACATTTCGAACTTATCGGTACTAGAGGAAGGAAGCTGGTACCGAGCTGCTTTAAGTCCAGCATCTCGGTTGACATAGAGGATTGGGACCTCAATCTGTGAGCGGGCCGTGACCTCGACCTAGCGGTGCGTAGGATCCTCTGTCGCGTTTCCCGGTGTCCCAATCTCAACAACAAGCCGGGCCTTCAAACCCAAACCCTCGCCCCTTATCACGCCCAAACACGACACTGGCAAACCGCTCAGAAAAGTTCTATCGTCCCAAGATATCCATGATTTAGCCCGTTCGATACAAGGTAAACCCAATCAACCTCCTACCGGACCCAAAGATAGCTCTTTTGAGGCGCAGTCTAGAAAGATCAACACCCACGATGACCCCGTGATGTCTTATGTCCATTTGCTAAAGCCCCTTTTCATCCCTTTTCCCATGTCTCAGCTTTAAAGTCGATCCTGTTGCAATCAATCTCAGGACTTTAACCGAGATGATGCAGTACCATATCTCCTTCTCCTGCAAGTCGTGGTGGCGGCTCGACAGCTACTAGCTCGTCTGTTCAGGTGACAGTTCGGAGGATGTGGTCGATGCTTCTGCATTCCTGTCTGCCTACAATCCTTTTTGTGGCTTAGCTTGATGTGTTATGGTTAACCCAGTGTGTGGAGGTTGCAGACTACAGGCATGGCGTTGCTGTGTTCGAATTGTTCATTTCTGTTTCGAGGGGTGAGCGCTTCAGATGTTGCTGCTTCGGGGGGTGCAGGCTCTGGATGTGGGGCGAGCAAAGCAGATTCCTGGAAATGCGATTGAGTGCTCAGCTCTAGGATTCAATGTTGGAGTAAAGCTATGCCTGCGCTCCGTACAGCTCCAGCGGTCTCGAAGCTCTCCCTTGCTTACTATAGAAGCCCGAATAATCATCATTATCAATATTATTCATTAAGGTTTCTTAATATAACTAAACCAAAGGAGCCCAAAACCCCATTCAAATTATTAGGCCCTTACTATACTCGTTTGCCTTAGGATGGCCTGAACCAGCGATCCATGCTGTCCTTCGCAGGTTTCCGAAAATTGGGAGTACCTTATTTGGGCGTCCTTTTAATAAGGATCCTACAATTTAGGGTACTATATTGGGGTCCCCTATTTTCGAAAACTCCCATATGCTTAGGTGCTTTCCTTTGGCCTGGGTGCCCTTCTTTCCCGGTGCATGGAATCCCTCCACACAAGGTGCCTTGTGTCTTAAGATTTTATTATGTTACATCAAGGCTTGTAGGGCGTAGGGTTTAGGACAAAAGGCGATCAGACTTTAGCCTTATTTTGAAGGGTCTGGGGCGCATGGTTTGGACTTTGGTGCAGAGTTTGGGGTTCTGTAGTTCTGTGGGCAACATAGGGCTATTGTTCATAATCCCAAGCCTCGTGAGCTTGGATAAGCCCCAGGCTGAAGAGCGTTGGGTTTTTGCCTTCAGGCTAGAAGCACTTACCTTGGTCCTCCGCTCCGCCTCTTAGTTGCTCCGCTACATGCTTCACGGCCTGTAGAAGTCAACTCGGAAACCCTGAAATGCGTTTTAAGCTTCAGGTATCTGGGAGTTTCCGAAAATAGGGGGCCCTAAGATAGTACCCCACATAGTAGGATCCTTATTATAAGACACCAAAATAAGGTACCACCTAATTTCGGAAGCTCCCAAAAGTGTATATAAGCTTCAGGGATCTAGGGCTCTTCATGCAACTGCAATATCGGCTCCGAGTCTCTGAAGACATCGGCTCCGGGTCTTTAAAGAGCCCTAGGAGCCTGATGATATGGATGGTTGTCAAAATAATAGTCCCTTTTTTGGGTCCTTCTTTTTTATTATAATGCGGCACCTAATATTTAGGGCCTAATATTTAGGGTACCCAAATCAGGGACAATAATTTTAACAACTACCCATGTAGCTCCGTCATGCACTTCTCAGGCAGCTCTGAAGCTCTGGGAACCGGAGCCCAGAGGACTAATGAAGGGTCGGGAAGAGCTTATCATAACCTGCGGTAAAAAGTAATTGTTCTAATTTCCCACCTGCATGTATTGCATGTTTTTACCAAAAACACTCAGATTTACATGGCCCGCTAGTACATGCGTCCATACGTCTGCTTGTTTAGTCTGACTGTATAGGAAACCTAGCACAAACATCATGCAAACCCTACAAAGTCCGTTCACATGACAGGCGCTATGCGATGGCCAAGGATGCATCACCCGTATCGGATCAGGACGATGCCTTCAGGCGGTTCAGGGGGTTTAGGGCTCAGCGGGAAAGGACTTACAGCAATTTCAGGCCTCAGTAGCTGAGAGCACAGCTACGTTTTTGGTGAGGGTGTGGGGTGGGGTGTGGCGGCCAGCGAACTTAGAAACTGTGCACCGGACTTCACAGGAATTGAATGTGAAGTGTAACAGCCTACTCTGCCCTGCTCTACTCCACCGTACGTGCAGGCACCATGACCTGCGCACACGGGTCGCTAACATTAGTCTGGACCCTAAATGAACCGTCCAGACCCCCACTAGCACTTCACTTGGTTCCTTTCCTGGAGCATTGCGCATGAATCCTAGAATCGACCCAATCCCGACGAGGAACTGCAACGGCACTTCAGTTCCATTCTCCTAAGCTGTAGGTGTCAAGCCTCGTAAACCTGAAAAAAGGTTTAAGCCCCGTGGAACTGTTACACTGTACACACAAGCACTTATCGAACCCTGGTAAAGCCCTATAGAGCCCTCCTATAGAGCCTGTCAAACACCGAACCCCAAATAAACATGCTGAATGCAGTGATCCATCCTGGGACTTCAGCATCATTGTAGTTGCGCCTGAGGGCCTGTTCCAAGCATACCAGCTGAAGGGATAAACCCTAAACCCTAAACCCTAAACCCTGAACCATAGCCCAGAAGGTGGGTTTTTAGGATTCAGGATAGTTTTCGGGCTCAGAGGATTTCGGGTTGAGGACCTCTTCCAGTCATCTTAGCCGAAGCGATCTCCATCACAATAGGGTTCAGGGTAGTGACATTAATACAGCTGTAGCGCGTTCGGGACGAAGCTGCATGGAGAATCATAACAAGCAAACCGCTCTCAGATCTGGGTCAGAGCGAGTTCTCTGATGCAATGCCTTCCATCAAAGACCCACCAGCCTTAAGCTTTGGTTCATGGGATTCGCTGCACTCTCAGCCAGCCGTTTAATCAGGACTACTACACCTGAATAAATGTACACTGAATGTAGACAGTCTCTTCTTGATCATGCTGTGAAGCTCAATGTGCGGATCTCGCTGTTAGTGAGTTGAGTGTCTGAAGTTCGTTCAGCATCGGAACGAATCATACGAGAACGAGTCCTGAACTCAAGCCAAAGCTTTGCAACTAAACTCTTGCAGAACATGCCTAGATCCTCCTTCTACCCTCTATTAGAAACTGAATACCTGCTAGCAGGGACCACATATATATATATACATACATACACCTCAGTTTGGCTGCATAAAGAGGATCCAGGTAATTACATAGCCCCAGACTCCAAAAGCGCCAGGGGCGTGGAGATGCAGCCGGAACCTGCCTACTTGGGGGCTTGAGACAAGGACTTCTCTCGGCTCTGTGTAACGTACACGCGGACGTGCATAGGTACATACATGAGCACATGCATACATGCACACTATCCTCATACCCTACATACATGCGTACATGTGTGTGTGTGTGTGTGTGTTTGTGCGTGTTTGTGTGTGTTTGTGTGTGTTTGTGTGTGTGTGTGTGCGTGTGTGCTTGTGTGTTTGTGTGTTTGTATGTTTGTGTGTGTGTGTGATTTTGCCGGAGCTCAGACCTGCGTGAGGAAGCCGGCGACAAGATTCTGCAGCTGCAGCGAGCAGCCGATACCTGTAGAGATCTGGGAGACCGTGTGTCCCAGCTATTCGAACCTCAAAGTTAAGTTAATGTAGTGTTAGGTTACGGTTTGTTCCGTTTGTTTTACCGTTTTGGCTTGAAGGTATGCATGCCAGAGCCCCAAGCCAACACGCAGAGGCAACCAGCAGAGTGAGAGATAGACAATGCGACCGTGAGAATATGCGGGTGTGTCCAGAAAAAATTTACTGTCGTCACAAGACCTCCGTCCCCACACCAAATGACGTGAGTAAAGAAATCCCAATAGCATCGCTTTCCCAGCAAAAGAAGGACCGTCTGGAGCAGAAGGAAGCTATCGCCAGGTCCCGGCTCAAGGTGAGCCCTTGAATCCCAGATACGCTTTGATTAGGGACTAGGGTTTAGGGCTTAAGGTTTAGGGTTTAGGATCTGTCTATCTGTTTAGATATCAGCTTCCTCGCTCTCACTTTCTCTATCTCTCTGTGTCTCTCTCTCTCTCTCTCTCTCGCCCCCTCTCGCATCTCTCCAACTGTTTGTCTGTCTCTTCGCTTCTGCCAGAGTGAGCCATTGAACCCGTGAGCGCCTGAATCCCAAACCCCTACATAAGCGTCTAAACGCTAGTCTAGACCCCGAGAGTAGCGTTAGAATACTCCTGAAATTACAATATTGAGAGAGTCAGCCTTAAACGCGAAATTCAGAAGGATCCTGCGTAAGTCCAGACCGTAGGCTCTGAAGCCCTAGACCTCAAGTGTCAGTATCGATCACCAAAACTTGACCTTAGAACAGCAGACTCTTAAATTATGTTTGCATCAGGCGCGGATATCTGGATTTCTTCTATCATGGTATGGCATTTTGCTTGCTAAGTCTTTAGAGTTTAGGGTTGTTTGAGCTGCAAACTGGTTTGTCATGGCTCACATGCGCACCGGGACATCTCAAAGAGAAGGCGCTATCTTCACAAGGAGTGCGGCTGCGCCACGGTTTGGCGACGCACCACAGTCTCGAAGAGACCCTCGTTTATCTAGCACACGAAATCAGGATTGGCTAGCCCACCTGTTCGTGCCAAGGAAAAAGCAGCTCGGAAACAGCGTTGAAACCGTAGACGCCCTAGCTTCCCGCTTCTGCATGATTTTGCTCCGGTTTCGCTGTTTTTCCTTGCTAGAAGGCTGCTGTCATCTAGGGACCTCACTCCCTAAAACCGGGTGTCAGGGTCTTGTTCAAGCCCTCCTCAAACCCTAACCCCTATAAACCCTAAACCCCTAGAGATCTAAGGACTCATATATTAAGGCTTTTGGGCCCAAAGACCATACTACATAAGGCTTTTGGGCTATTTTGATCCCTAGGGAACTGAAAACTCACCAACTACCCTGCAGTGTACCCCAAACAGCCGCTAGCAAGGACCATAAGGGATCCATTAAAGGGGCATTCGCGGGGTCCTGGTCCTGGTAAACCTGAAGATACACCGGAAGCCCTGGTCCTCCAGAGGTCCGTTAAAGGGGTTTAGGGTTTAGGATTGATGCCGGTTTGGGTTTTCAGATTTACTTGGGTTTGGAGTACCATACTTGAATACTTTGTTTTGGTACTTGTTCCGTAAAGAAGCCAATCTGAAATAAAAGTCTATTCTTTTTTCTCCCTGGTTACTTCAAAATCCAGTTTAGGATTTAGGATTACAAATCTGCTTCAGGGGCTGGTTGGGATGCAGGTTTCGTGTACGCTGAAACTTCGAAATCCTGGTGTTCCCTTACCAACCTCACACCTGGAAACCCCAAGGGACCATGTACCCAAATGGTATATACTTCGGCCTTAACGTACTCCGTATTTAGGTTCCTCGGGCCCAGAGTATAAACTATCTGGGTACGCAAACCCTCAAACCCTATACCCCATAGACCCTTATAGAACCCTCATGGTGCCCGCAAAGGAACCCTTAAAGGAAACCTATTTGGGCACATTGACCCTTAGGAAACTTTGAACTGACAAGACAAGAGTCTGCCGGAGCTGTCGGCCGATCCTCTATCGGAGTTTCCGAAAATCAGGGGCACCTCAACTTTGGGGGTCCTTATGATAAAGATCCCACCAGAAATGGGTCCCTATTTCCGGAAACTCCCACATCCCGAAAACCTTGACTTGAATCGAGTCCTTCAGCTTCAACTGCAACCCCCACAGCTGCTATAGTTGCCGCTGTAGTGCCCTATGTCTTTCCTGGAGAAGCCTCAAATTCGCTCCCAGGTCGAATTGGGAGATCCCTTAAAGGGATCCGTCTTAACCTTACGTCTGGCTGGGGACCCTATATCCCCAATGGTCCCCTCAATACTAACTCCCATTCGCTAGCTCAGGCTTGAGAACGAAAGCTCCGAGCCCCGCGCTGCCCTCTTCGCCTGGCCGAATCCTCAGTGCGGGTTTACAGTCGATCCACTTTTTCTGTTGTTTGTGGATTTTTGCTTTTGGGTTGGGATCTTCATGATTGCGGTTAATTACAGGGTTCAGAAAAAAGCTTGGATCGCACCCTCAATTCCAACCGTTACACCGGACAATTAGATGTCCATATATAAACGGAGACCTATGTGTGTTGCTCTCGTGTTTACTTGTGGCATCATTGCTGCCTGTGTCTTGTACGTCTACCGCGGCCTCTTTCATTAGCTTTGTTCTTTGATATTTCTGTTGCGCAGGTTCCGTGTGCCGGGCGTCTACACTGGACACACGGAGGCGGAAGCCTTACTATCCTATACCTAAACTCCTTATGTGGGATTGGCAACTCCATCACATGCACCTCATGCAAGGTGAAGGACTACTAGCGCGAATCTTGTATGAAACGGTTTCAGGATCCTTGGGAAGGTGTGTCTCTGCAGCTTTCGGGTTTAAGTTAAATCCGTCCTTCAACTCGAGAGTCCAGAGCCCCCCAGCCCCAGGCCGATAAGGAGCTGAAGTCAAGTTTCAAGCGCACTGTACTTAATTACTAGAGTCTACGATGTGCTGCAAAGCCTAAACGGTGTAATGTAAGAAGGCACAGTTGGAGCCTCTGGGTAGGACCCTTTCATGACTTACATGTGCATAATAAATTTAGCGGTGAAGGTTTCGAGTTTGTTCACGATCTGTGTGCGAATTCCTTTGTGTCATTGAGTAGAGCGCTGAAAAGGCGAGTCGCTCACATGCATAAATTGCTTAAATTCCCAATGTTGAAAGCCCAAAACCACAAAACCCCCGAATCCTTATGGATCCTATGCAACCTAAACAATAAAATCCTCTCGGCTGTGAAGTGTATACCTTGGCCGCAAAGTATTCACCTGGCATTAGGGAGGCCCCTTAAAGGGGACCCTTCTTAGCCCTACTTATTATGATGGCTCTCTTAAGAGGGACCGTTGTGAAAGGGTCTACACCCCCAAGGGTCCCCGTAATCCCAACTCCCACCCCAAGGGTCCAAAGGAGCCCAATAACAAGGCACTTGGGTTTAGGATAGTAGTTATGTAGTTTATACTTGGGAGAGTACATGATTTTTCGGTACTTGGACCTTTGGTGCTAAAAAGAGGAAGTCGATGCCAGGAGAATTTCGGCCCGGAGGGGCTGCGCCGGGCTGACGAGTTCCGTCGCTACGTGCGGCCGCGTCTGCGGAAGGCCTCGGGCTTTGGGGTTTTAGGGTTCAGGGTTTCGGGTTAAGGGTTAAAGTTTAGGGTATGGTTACTTAGGGTTTAGGGTCTTTGAGTCTAGGGTCGAGGAGGGCTTTGGGGCTGAAGAGGGTTTTGGGTTTCGGGGAAGGTAACTACATATCATACATCTATACTTATGACCCTTATTTCAAACTAAGGTACCAATAGCCCTACTTACTAAGTGTGAAGGATCTGCGGTTTAGGATGTCGGGTTCAGGGCTTTTAGGGTCCACAAGCGTTCAGGGGTTTGTTCTTGTTTCCTTTTCGTTTGGTGGGAGGTTTTGTTCAAGCTTAGCGCTCCAGGGTTTAGGGATACGCAATTGCGGCTTGGGGGGTTGTGCGTTGCAAGTGCGGGGGTTGAAGGTGTTGGCACCGTGGGGTGCAGGGTTTGGGTCGTCAGAGCGGAGCATTCAGCTTAGGAATCGGACCCTTGGAGGAAATAATCATATACTCACCCAAATCCTAACCTACATAACTATTATCCCAAAACCGAGTACCTAATTATTGGGTCCTTTGGACCCTTTAAGTCGCACCAAACACCTTCCTCAATCCTGAACCCAATTCCCCACAGTCAACCCCCCCCCCCCAGGTCGCCACGGAGCAGCGCCAAGCTTGTCCGGGCGCATCGGGACCTGTGGCAGAGGAGCTTTCAGATGCATGGGGTGTTCTTCCTTGTAGTCGAGTAGATAACCTTTAACCTTTTTTGGGTAGTAGTATAGTCCCTATATTATCCCTATATAAACCAAAAAAGTTAACCTTTAGTTCGCATGATACCCGACAAGCAGGTCTTCAGTTCTAACTATTTGGGTTTAGGGTTTAAGGGGTCGTTAACAGCATGGTTTAGAGTCCATAATTACCAGGGTTTAGGTTTTAAGGGGTCGTTAACAGCATGGATTAGAGTCCAGGTTCTATGCCTCTTGGAAAGGGTGTTTCTCTAAGTGTAGACAGATGTCGGAGCAAAGCACCCTCATGCCTGCCCGTAGGTCAAGGGCATGTCCTGTCACCCCAATAGCTACGTATTTAATCTCGAAGCTGGGCATCTGCATGACCTGTCGACGAAGCTACTAGACCCTAAGACCCTA